TGGGGTTCCCCCTCTGCACATCCACTAGATACGCCACTGATGTTTTAGTCAATTACGTTACCATATAATTAAATTTTTTTAATGTATTTTAATCATTGAATTAATAAATTGTTATGACATATCAAAGATGTACTATCAGTCAGACAGACAGGACAGGAGAAAACACCTAAAAAATTTAAATCAAATTTTGGATAGGATCATATATTTAAAAAGGATCAAATAAATTATTAGCTTCTAACGAGAAACAGTTCAGAAGAAAAAGTAGTTTTCACCAATTTAGAGATGCTTTACTAAAAAATCTTTAAATTGATTACCAGGCAAATTTAAAGATCTATGCTACAGAATGTGTACAGGAAAGTTATTATTAACTGTCCGAAAATTGGCGTAAATTGAAGTAGAAATAACATACTTAAATATACAAATACACAGGCTAGAAACACTCATAATTCTAGGTCTAATTACAATAACCCTCTTTGATTTTAGATTGAGAATTTAACATTTTTTAGAAATTTTTGTAAATAAAAACCATATATGCCATCCATTATAAGTATCTGACACAACTGACACTTGAACAAGACTTACAAACTTAGTGATACTGGGATCAATAGCGTAATTACTATGGCCTTCCATTATATAGCTTTGATTATTGAATTCAAAAGCTGAAAAAATTGAGTGGCTTAGTCACAAGGCTCTGATTGCTTTAAATTGATATCGATTTGCGTAAAATTTTTTTAGATTATTACAAAGGATGCGTCAATTTACCTGAAATGTCATGCAGAGGTCATCTTCGACGTTACCCTCGTATTCTAAGAGTTCTTTCAGTCCGTTCGCCAAATCCTAAAAAGAAAAATCAAAAGAATATAGAATATATATAATAGATCTTGATTAATTTATTGCAATTTATATACTACGAGAAGAAAAACCTAAAATTTAAGGTATTAATAAATAAAAATATTTGGTCAGTTTGAAGAGAAACAACAAAACTATAACGAAATAATAAGAATCCAAATGAATCTTAAAAATAATCATACAAATTGTAATCATCCTAGTAATACCACAATTAAAATAAAATTATAAGAGCAATAAGAAATATAATAAAAGAAAAAATAAAACTAAAAGTGGTAAAAATATTGTAAAATACATTATTTAATTAAAAATTTGATCTTAAGATATTTATATATTATTTTAATATTAATAAATATTCAACATTTCTCAAAGTACATACGTACCGGTTTCACAAGTTTGAAATCCTCAAAGTTCAAAGGGCATTTGCCGACCTCTGCTCGGGGGTTGTTGAATGGCACGACTGCAGGACTAAGCAACTTCTTATAAGTACACTGTGGAAACCTGATATCTAGGATGGTGCTATTGTACACAGCTAACCCCATCAGCTAATACATATCAAATTAAGGGTAATTTTCAATTCAACAATTGAGGCCAACTTAGAAAAAATGCATTACAAATATATTTAAGAACCCAAAGATCCTCAACATACCAGCAAAATGTATTACCCGAGTTTTCGTCAAAATTCGGTATGGACCACTTCTGCTAACAGAGAAAAATGCAGCATGATATTTTTGTTTACAAACATATTATATGAATGATATGTATTTTTTATATATTAAAATCTACACAATTTATAATAAATGTATCTTTTACAATTAATGTCTGTTTAGTACTTAGTACATCTAAATTCTGCTATTATAAAAATTAATAAATCTTCAATAATGTACTTTAGAACAGGCCTTTGGGAAATATGTACAAAATAATTAGGATTATTTCAATAAATATATTTTCTTGAGTGACAAAGTCACCCGCCTTTAGGAATATATTTTGAAAGCTAAATGAAAAGCAATTATAAAAATACCGGTCTTGCATTTTTTAGATATCCTGGTTGTACAAAATACGGCCTTCAAAGTAATATAAAACATTTCAAACATATACATGCTGTAATAGAAGCAATTAAATAACC